GCAGGAATCTGTTACAATATGAGCTATCAAATGAAAGCAAATAGGGATTCTATTCACTGATAATCTAAAAGAAATGCGACAGTTATAAAACACATTCAGAACTCTTTGTTCTAGACAATGAGGTTCTGTGTTTTGCCAATAGATTATATGCTGCTAATTAAAACGTAAAACATTAATAAAATCATAAGGAAATATGAAAGGAAACATTACTTCAATGAAAAGCCATTGGTAACTGCAGCACCATGGACACTGCACTCAGTGTTTGTCAGTTCACTTTGAAATACAACTAAAATGATAAAGTGCCCCAAAGTATTCATTTCAGTTGCTCAGAAAGATCTGTCTGCAGTCATTTCCCCAATCTAAAAATTAAAAAGCACCAAATTTATTTGCTTAACTATATGAAAGTTTGTTTTTAAAAACATCTCCAACACAGGAACCTATCACTTGCTCCTAATACAATGCCTAGAAGACTCTACCACACCCGAGGTGCTGACAGAGATAGAAAAGAAAGGTGATGCTACATTTTTTTCAGGGTAGAAATACACTTAACAGAAGTGCTTTTTGTTTTTAATGTAATGCTTTATTCTAGTATAAGCGTACAGCATTAAACCCAAAGATCACGGTATGCCATTGTAAGCAATCCTGCACTTAAACATTATTTTACAAGTGTAAGTATACCACCAATACCAACACTTATCTCATGAAACATCTGTCATCTCAACAGAGACTTATGAAACATGTGGGAAAGAATCATCAAAACACCATGTTGTTATTTTGGCCATATAAACAGCAATAGGAACACAAAAGCACTATGCAGCCGCTTTCACTTTGAAACACATTCCCTGAAGTAGTTGGATTGACATCAATCTTTGCAAAACAAAAATTAAAATTAAGAGATAGAAAGATATATGAAGTAGTAACACATTCACGATTTGACAATCAAGAATTTTGCCAGCAATTTTGCACAGGGAGTATATTGGCCTATGCAATCTTATGCCAGTGAGTACTCACTTGGCATGATACTCAAGGAGATTTAACTAGATATGAGTTCTTAAAGGGGTCACATCAAGCCCTGTACACTTTGTAAAAAATCAAAACAAACAAACAAACAAACAAAAAACCCTCTGTATATAAGGAGTTTAAACACAGTTTTCAAGGGCTATCTTTATATTTTAACTTCTGCAATAAAGTGACAATACATTTATGGCACTAAGGGATACAGGTTAGTGATTGGGACTTGGTAGGCCAGATAGATGGTTAGAATCGGTGATCTGGAAGGTCTTTTCCAAACTAGATGCTTCTATAAACCTAGAGAGCATTTCCTTTACAAAAGTACTTATTAGGAAGCAGAAAGAAGTACTATACATTATATATCAAAACTGATTAAACAAGCCACTGCTTAACAAGCTGTTGAACCTTGAGAGTAGAAAACTATGGAAATGAAAAAGAGAGAGATGAATTTATTCCTGAAAAAAAATAATGAAGAATTGGAGCTATATTTAAGGAGTGCTTTAAGGAGTGAAGAACTCATTATTTGAAGATACACTGGATTGAGAGTTTTTCATTATTTTCTTCTCTTTCTTTTCTGCTCAGTTTAACTCACCTCTTCCCCATTTTGCATGTTTCAAAGTTCACTTTCTGGGTGAATTCTGACAGCCAAATAGGTTGTTCCAACTGAATCTTATGCTTATGGAACTTCTCACATAGAAGAATAAGCACAGTCACACTCTTTTATCTGCTACTATCCTGTTCTGCATTTTTTCATACATCTGCCACAAAGTTGTTTTACTCTATGTTAATCTGTTTCCTGCTTAAACATCAGGTCTGAAAGTGCTTCTGTATTTCTGCTTTCTCAAAGTAGGAGGGACACGATTAACAGCTGCAGCCATTTTTCCACAAGAAAGATTTCCCCTAATTCCACTGAAATAGGGCTATATTAGCTATATAATTTATTTCAGAATCACATTCAAAATTCAGCGAGTTAGACTCAATTAGAAAATCTGCTTCCATATAAAAAATAAGGAATAATTATTGCATAAGCAAGCAAGACACTGAAATTCAATTTAAAGGGAACTTTAGGCCTAGATACATAAAGCCTTTCTAAAGCCCTTTGTCATAACAACTGAAAGATAGAATTTTCTGTCTACAACCCAAGCCAAGTGAGTTAGCCTCACTTTAAGACACAATGATACCAAGTGCTTGCCTGATAGTAGTGCAGCAGGTACTTCCCACTTTTGCCAGAAGTTTTATGTGTCAAAAGGAAATACTTCCCACAACGTCAAACAAAAGTCATTTTCCAGTTGCATGTCTCCAAATAACTGTGTCATACTTATTCATGTATTTATGACATTCAAACATTCATGGTTATTCTGGAGTCACCTTTCTGTGGTTGGTGGACAAACTCATATATATGTTGTAACGAATATGTAATTGACCAGGAAATAATGCATCCAATACCAAACCTAAGCATTCCTAGATCAGGAGTTGTACAGAAGAGGCACTGCCTCAGCTCCTTAAACTGCCTTCATACTCCTGTTTCTCTGATAGACTATGACTTGCTTTTAAGACCTGCAACTAGAGCTATTTGCACTTTATTTGACTTTTCCCTACTAAGTTGTTTTCATAGCTGGTGCTGCATTTTTGTTAAGTGCCTGGCAATGCTTGCATAATGGTTGCTTATTTCCTTATCAACTAATTTGGAGTAATCATATTGCATAGGCGATAGCTCTAAATTTCACGCTTACTTATATTCCCACACACTTAATATTCAGGCCCTCCTGACACGTGCAATAACAGCTCATAAACATTTGTTCCTTAGGACTTTGAAATTAAGAATGAAAAATAAGCATTTGTCCAAATAATTGGTGGAAATTGGTGGGTCTTTAACATCCAGCAGCACGTGTCTGCTGAAACTTTGCACAATAACTTGCTTTTCACTGTACAACCCAATAGGAAAAAAAAAAAAAGCATTACAGACTTCTTGATTCCAAAATGCTGGGGAGAACATCTGTTATCTAAACGTGAAATACAACAACAAACTCTGCAAAACACAACGTTTTCTCTAACTTTTTGCCAAACCTTTATATCTATGGGCCTCTCTGGCCTTGTTTCGACATTTAATCGACTGCATACCAAGTAAATGCACTTCTGAGTGAGCAGCCCATAAGCTACACAACATGTGGGCACCCATACTTCAAAGGGATGCAAGTCAATTAATATTTTATCCAGCTTTACATTTAATCCAGTTTATCTGGTTTTGAATTGAGAACCAAAAAGTCTTTGAAAACCAATCAAAACAAAACCAAAACCAAACAAACTACCAATACATGACCTGCACTTTCTTCTGCCTTAATAGAGACTCAACACAAAGCAAATACATGGACACATTTTGTACTGTTCCATTACTTATAATCTAGAACGATACAGGAATTTCAATGAAGGTTACAATAATAAAAAAACAAAAATAAAAACACAATGAACAAGTAAAAGAATGTGAATCCCATATTTTTGGGGGGCTGATTCACATTACCTACATCCTAAGGGCTCCCAGAAGTGACACTAATATAATAAAAATCACCTCTCAAATATTACACAATCCCACTTTAAAGTAGAAGAGCACCTTACTGTTTATAATGTTTCAAGGTGACAATGAGAAAAAAAGGAATCATTAGCAAGTCCAAACTGGGTGATGAAAACTCCTAGCACCAAAGCTTATTTCCCTTAAAGAAAGCCTTGCAATGTTGTGTTAAGTTTGGTTGGTTTTTTGTGTTTTTTTTTTAAAGCTATGGAAAGGAAACTTCTAGATCTGCTTTTGCTGCTCCGTTGTTCTTGTCTAAGGCTAGAGGAAATTTATGACTTCCTCCTCCTGCTTGCACCACTAAGAAATCTTCCAGAATAAAAGTCTCTTCAACTCTCTGCCTACAAATGTATGTACATGTAGGTGATTCAGCTGAGAATGCAAATTATTTTGTTTGGGAGCCGGCACTGTTCTCCAAAACCTACATTTTCTTTGTTTCATACCCTTTCCAAAGGGGCAGTAGCATGTACGTTTGTGCTTCTCTGCTATTTATATCACTGAGAAAGAAGGCCTGAAAATTGGCAGCAGGCATTTCTGCATATGCTGTACCTCTGAAACGTAAGTATGCCAAGAATTTTCATCTGTGGTTTCACTGCAGAAATAGATTTCTAGGAATAGGAAAGGAAGAAACTCTCTCATTCTACCAGCAAGGAGAAAGAGTTTGATCTATTGAACACTGTCACACATTTGCTATGGCAAATAATATGAATTTGTTAGGAGTCTGAATTAGACAGTGACAGATATTTTTAAGGTGTTCAAATAAAATATTTAGCTGTTCTTGAGTCATTATTCCTTTCGACATTGTAGTGTACTTAAATTCTATTATCTTAAGAATTTTTTCGAACAATCTGAAGAGCCATGACATTTTAGCATAAAAGAAACGTGGAAAACCTTTTAAAAAAAAACAAAAACAAAAACAAAAAATATAGGCCTATTTCGAGTCATTTCAATATATCACAAAGCAGTAATAAAGATCAAAACACATTTTTCTTCCAATACATATCATCTTATAATCACTCCAGGAGGTACTGCTGAAATCCAAAGGCCAGTATTTCATTTATGTACTTCTAAATTTGCACTTTACAGCTATTCCACTGGAAAACGACGGAGGGATTAACATAATTCTCAACAGGCAAGTACTCCCACACATTGTCTGCATGTGAAAATCTTAAGGCTATCAACCACCAGCTGCCCACGGACATTAGCTAAAAACTAAAACCTTGTGTCAAAGCCAAGTGAACTTTTCTTTAGGTCAACAAGAAGATTTACTGGCACTCAGAAAAGCATACACCGACTTCAAGGTAAAAGAGTTTGACGCAAATATCTGAGATAGCCCTATCAGCTCCATATTTCAGCTCCTCCCACCTGGATTGGCTTCTCTTGTCTAAGTCAACTAATGCACAATTCAATGACCTTGACTTACTGTGAGATGTGAGTTATTGGGGTTAACAGCGTTTCACCCTCCAGGTCAAGCTCATCGGCAAAACTGTTGGTCCTGATGAAGGGTCCTGTGTTCACATCTAAAAACGTCGGGCTTTTTTTCACTGTGAGAAAATATGCAGATAACCATTATAGCAATAGCATACAGCTTCTTCTACAAATGACTTACTGCTTGGATTTCTGAAATACAGCGCATTTTAACAGAATATTATAACCAGAAGTTACTACAAAGATGTGCATACAGCTTAAAGTACATTAGAAGTAGAACTCTTTATACTCCTCATACGCTAGACTTTAAAGTATCATAGCACATTCTAAAAGTCAATATATGATAATCAGTCATACCAGTCTGCTCTATAGCAGTAGTGCATGAACACCTGAATGACAAGATCAGTTCCTCTATGTCATCTCTAGTTCAATTTTTAATTTATAAAATCATCTCTTGGTGTGTAATTAATGTGACCAAGACCAAGAAACGAAACCAGGTCTAGATCACCAAAGGAGCATCAGCATTTTCATGATGGTAAGACAGCTTCTCTCACACACTGTCTGAGCCAATTTATAGGTTCCCAATCCCTGTCTCACTTCACGGGAAGGAAGCCTCATCTATCAACCCCTACATGAGTCAAATGTCAAGATGCACAGTTCATCACAAGGAGCACTACAGAGGAAAGACCATTTCAGATAGTGGAAGTCCTGGGAGACAGAATTGCTTTTATAACCAAAATGTTCATGCATCCAAGAAATTAGGCAGAGTGGTATAGATTTCATTTCTAAACTAAATTCTCCTTCTAAACTAATTTCTACTAAGTTCTGCCAGTTTCAGAACCCCAAGTGCATTTTTGAGTGTAGTCTTAACATTTGTCAAAGAAGATACAGAATTTCTGCATGCATCAAATATTACTGTATTTACACTCGCGTGCAAACAAATTGCAAAGAGAATCAAAACCAGTAAGCAAGTTTCTGTAGATATTCACTAACACAACCATTTTAATTCAGTAAGTACCCTCATCTGGAACAGGAAGTCAATATTTACCTATTAGCTGACAGAGAATACTGAGATGAGAAGCTACTTAATAAAAGGCAAATACAGTCTCTCTCTCCTTATTTTAAAAACTTCTAAGATGGTCATAACCAAGATCATGTTCTGTTCTAGTGACTGATGCAGTTCTCTACTTTTTATTCTCTCATTCATATATATAATCTTGCTGCTTCAAACATAAAGTAGGAACCACTTCAAAACATTTCCATGCAATCTGCTTGCACAGAGTGAGGAGGGGTCAAGAGAAGAGCATGGTGTTCACAAAGGGTTCCCTTCCACACATTCTGTTGAAGTAAATCTGCTTCAGAGCACCAAGGAGCTAACTGCCCCATGTACAGCTTTATCACTGCTGACTTGCTCACTGTAAGAGCTGAAAAGCCAGGGAGAAGACTGATGTCAGAAATTACAATCTCCCTCATGACTTACACATCTACACAGGAAAAGTACACTGCTGGCCCTCAGGGACTGGACCACAGAGTGTTTTTTTCAATAGATCACTGGGCATTTCAGTGGAATGAGGCAGCTTGTTACTTAGTCAGGTCTACAGCCTGCAGAAGTTAATTTTGTAATGACTGATTGAAAAAACATCTATGTTAAGGCTTCAAGGCAAAGGTTTTGCCCAAGCTGAACAAAAGATTTCTAAACTGATAAAAAAGTCAGCATTTCTTAACCCTCATCCATAAGCAAACATTACTAAGAACTGTCAAAAGGGTAAAGCTGAAGACAAGAAAAAGAAGTTTGTCATGATCTCTGCCACTCTGGTACAAAGGCCAGAGATTCCTGAATGAGATTCCTGAACACCTAATAGAAGTGGTATAAAAAGAAATCCATACCCACTGGACTCTGAGTGGCTGTTTCTCAAACACACACACACAAAAAAGGCTTTAAAAAGAAAAATTCAATGGATAATGAGTGAAAAGAAACAGTAAACAGATACAGCAAGGGATATTTACCAGAATTCAGGGGTCCCCAAAATTTATTATCTTTGTATTTGATGGATAGCACTACAAGGTATGACTATTCCACTGATAACGCTGGACCAAATACTACTTTCAAATGATGAAGAATACGCTCCCCTTAACACGAGAACTCCCACTCTAAAATAGAAGGTCCAAACTTCTTAATCAATGAGTATAATCACAATCACTCACAGGAAATTACTGATGAGTTTTCTACATTACTAACACAATTTTGTATGCCCTATGACATTCATGGAGCTTCTTTTCTGGTAGTGGGATGTTTTTATGCGAGAAAACAGTTTCCAATTCCTCTTCTGCAAGGACAATCAAAAACTGAAAACACCTTTAAGCATGGAACACTTAAATTTTAATTAATGCATTTAGAAAAATAACACTGGGTAGTATTTATTTCAACATTTGCAGTTCACAATCTGAAAAACTTTCCAAGCTTAAAAATCTAATAAGAAGCCTACGCTTTCTTAAAAGGACTGCACTATAATTTTCTGTGCCACAACAGGCAATTCCAGACAGAACACTGCAAGATTTTAGTAATTAACAAAGGTGATGGAGCAATGAAATATTATGAGATTTACCTGGAGAGGAAGGAGCGCTGGAAGATTGCTGGTCTGTGGAAAAGGATGGCCAGGAACGCTGACAATCTGAGTTATAGTAAAGATACACATAAAACAGAGATAGGAGGGGCGGGGGGAAGAAAGAAAAAAGTTCCAGACAGACAGCTGAGGAGATGCAGACATACCTATGCAGGCAGTATGACATCTTTAAAAATAGATAATACTGGGAAATCGACTCTGGGAAACTCTTCCAGTTTGTACTGCAAATTAGCAGAATATTAAACGACCACTAGGGGAGGCATTGTGCCTCTTCAAAAATTCTTTGGCAAGGTATTCCTCCTCAGAAGCCAGTCCTATCTTGAAAAATGTCATCTATACGTTTGCCTTCTCCTTCCTGACTTCACGGCTCCCTCAAGTGTTTCCCTTCCAAAGAGTACAACCTTGTACTACTCTTGGTCTGGTTCCACAGCATAGCTAGCTCCTGCCACTGATGTTAAAAGCAACATGCTACATTGCATTAAAAAAAAAAAACAGTTATGACAGCCAACTCCAACCATTTAAGCCGAGTGCTTGCCTCAAATTGGATTTCTTGGGGAAAATTTTCAGACAGATGAGTAGTCAACACTGAGAAAGACTCAGCAAAACAAAGCATTCATGCTTTATTTCTTTTAATTAATCATAATAGTGCCTTTTTTTTTTTTTTAATCTTTAGAACAAAACAAAGTCCAACAAATTTTGTAAGTGTTCTTCAGCTACAGGCACGCTCCAGCCAAAGCTCTTCAGTCCTTGCTGAACCAAGGATGCCAGAAGAAAAAATGTAATCTTATTCACAGTATGTACAAATTTAGTTTCCCCTCAATTTCTTTGAGTCCCTGTGAGAATGGTTTTAAGTGAACTCTCAGGTTCATGAGTTTACTCTTTTGGCTAGGAAATTTAAGCTGTGATTGCTGGCAAAGCTCCTCTGAGGCTTCTTACTTATAGAGAGCAGGTGATTTCATGGCTCTTGTTCCTCTCCTGAGATTCCACCATAATCAGCCCCAACAGAGATGCACTTCTTGGAAATGGGCAAACCAAAATCACGGGGAGTGAGGAACATAAAGTTTACTTTTTGGCCTTTTACTACTCCTACTACAGTTATGTTACATGTGGATTCAGAGGAGAAACTGAGCTCTGTAATTTCAGATGTTTTAGCCAAAATCCAAGGATCCTTGCAATTGAACAGTGAAATCTCTAATGTCTTTAGTGGATGCAGCATGGGAAACCTACAGGTGGCTCACAGCACTTTTACTAAATCACAGGTTTAGCTTTTTTCTTTTTTTTTTTTTTTTTGTCTGCATCTAGCTCTAATCCTAAGTCTTTCAGGAACGCTCAAACATTAAGAAAATGCCTAAACAAGCATATTAGAAACATCAGAGGGCTCCATGGCTGCTTAAGTGATCACAGAATCCAGACAAACAGTAAAATAAAATATTTAATTTATGGGTCCCCATCTGTTCACAAATATCCACAGAGCATTTTTACAGGAACAGATGCATTTACTTCAGGGAGCCCAATTTCAGAGGTCAATCTGGAAATTCTTCTCACATCCCAATCTATTTGTTTAGAAATTCTTGGTTATCTGAGCACATAACTTAATTGCTAGATAAAGTCTGAGTTACATTACATCATCTTTTGTCTACTGTTTATCCATCCACTATCGATTTTTCTCAGTTATGAAGAAAAAACAGGGATAGTCTGTTTATATACAAATATTTATAAGTGCTTTCTTCTTTGTAATGAAATTGTCTGTGCAATTAGAAATGTGAGAATGTAGATTTTGGTCTGTCTAGATCTCCTCGGCTGTACAAGATTTCTTAGAAACTATACAGCACTAGACACACAAAAAGCACTGCAATCAATGTTACTTCGTCATTAGCTTGCATGCTACAGATAAAATTTACCTCCACTTACCAAGCAATTTTAACATTCCTGTTTGTCCTGTATACTTGTAACAGTTTAGAGAGAGTAGAACACAGATAAAAAAGGAAAAAGATAAGTGTCAGAAGAAATTAGAGAAAATCCATTTGTTGAAAGCTATACAGCTGATTTTTGAAGTGGCAGTAGCTGCCTGCCTGCAAATTGAGCTTTAGAAACTCAGTGGTAAAAGGTAGGACTTTTCAAAACAAATCATTTGTATAGTTGTTTCGTTTAATTGTCCCGAAATAGATATCTATGCTCAGAGTGAGTTTACAAATTGAACTCAGTATTTGTCCACCTTTTAACAGCTTTATCATCTCTATTGCCAGATGCAAATTATAGTCATTCTGTAATAGGAGCCAAGAAAGAATGAAAAAGCACAGAAAGAATGATGCAGCACGTGAAATGTCTGAATTAAAATTGGTGCTAGGTCAAAATTTGAGCAGACAGATGAAAACTCAAGCACCGGTTACTGAAGTATCAATTATGAGGTGATCACCAAACATGGCCCTTTCTTTTTATTCCTCACACTGTACCTTTTTGCACAGTGACAGTTAATATAGATGCATACACATTTATCCTCAGCACTTCTGATTTCAAAATTCGATTCACAGCCGGCTCCACTGACCAGATGGTAGGAGCAGACAATGCTTTCACATAGCAGACTATGCTCAGAGCTGCCAACATACGTCAAACCTTTCTGGTTGAGGTACAAGCATGATAGTAACATGTCTTGAGTAAATTTCACACGGAAAAGCTAGCAGCTGATATCTCTAATCAATTGAAGAATTGGGGACTGCTAGCGCCTTAGAGAGGCTAGCTCTTCCAGCAGGCAGAAACGACAAAGGATCTTAGTTCGTCTACAACAGAGTACATTCATTAAAGGAACAGCTGAACCTCAACCAGACAAGCCAGCAAAGTCAAAAAGCAAAATTATCTTACTTTAGTAATAAGGACAAGAACTAATTCCGTCCTTTCTCTCGTACATATCAACGAGTGCCTACGCATAAATCATTAACAGAAGACAATGCATTCTACAACAAATTGCTTACCAGAATTTTCGTATGTGTCAAAACAGAAATCAGGTTTCTTGTCATCCGTCACATGGTCATAAGTGATGTGTGGAACTGTTAACATCTTGTCTGGAGAAGAAGGCCCGTTGTCCTTGTCTAGCTTAAATTTCTTCTTTTTAACCTAAAAATGCACATACGTTAAATTACCAAAGCAAGCCGCATTAAATCAGCTCTTCATTGTCTACAATAAGAACAAAGTCCCTAATGAGCTATAACCACATAAAAGAGTACATGACCAATTCTACTTTCATCATTCTATACTGTGAATTTCTTAATGAGATTGCATCCCCCTAAACTGGCTAATCCCTAGAATTCCATACATCATCATTAGCAAATTCCTTGCCTGCAATAATAATTGGCTAGCTCTGCAACAGTTTATATAAATGAAACTTTCTGGAATATCTTTACCATTTTAATGGATACAATAAATCATACCTTCAGCAGAGAGCAAACCAATAGAGTGCTATTGAATTCAGATGAATCTATGATAATATGAGAAATTTTTGTAAAACATCCTCTCCTTCCCAGTACATGGCTACCACACATCCAAAAGAGAGGACGAAGTATTACATAATGTAAAGATACATAATGTAAAGACTTCTTCTTGCTGTATCTTAAATGAATAAACATTCTAAGCTATGGAATAAGATATAGCATACATAGGCACAAGATGTATTAGAGAACCATAAAATCAATGGTAGCTGAGTGAAGCATCAGGATGTGGGTTACTCTTTTGTTTGTGCGTTTTAAAGTAGTTCTAAGTTGCAGTTTTGGAAATACACATTTTCTGGGTTTTTGTTCTTTGCATGTACTTTTGCAAACAACATTAAGTAATGGATTGAGTTGCCTGAGGTAGATCATTATCACTCTTTTCCAAACTCATAAATGCAATAAAAAATAATTCAAGCTTGGTAACTGAAGCAAATTAAGCTGCAGTTTAAAATGTTTCTATACTGAAAACCACAAAACTGATTAGTAAACATAACTTTGAAACCTAGTAAAACTCCGTAAAGCAAAAAAAAACCAAACAAACTCAATTAAGCCTCTAGAGTGTAAAAAAAATTCAATCCAATTAAAAACATTTGAAATTTCTATATAAAGAAATGTTAGTTAATGATACCATCACTGATTTCTTTGGTTTTGGACTGGGTGACAGCAAATGATAATTTCTGGCAGGTCTTCGAATATATATTTTCCATGTCGAAGAGTCTGGGTTTTCTGCTGCATAGCATCTCCAGGCAGTCTAGAGAAAAAGTTGTGGCAATGCAACAATCAATGCAATGGGATTTGTAGCAACCCATGCTACACAATAACTTCTAAGTCAGCACATAAGAAATCTATAAGCACTCTGTAGTTTCTCCCATGAAAACATTAACTCAGAATGGTTCAGAATCTTCAATCAGCAAACAAAAAACACTTAGTTTGAGCTGGGCAAAATGGAAAGTAAGACCAATGTTTTCAAGTACTACTTGTACTTGCATTAGCAGCAAATAATGAAAGAGGATTCTAGACAGGCCTCGGGAGACTGGAGCTGAATTTCTCACTCTGCACCAGTTTCCCTCTGTGATTTTGAAACTTTGAATGCTTTGCCTATTGCATCCCACGTTTCAGGCCCCTAAACAGGAAAAAATAAAATAAAATCATTCTTCCATAAGAGTTCTGTCAGGAAAAGAAGCAACTGTGATATGGTCAGTAGGGCTATATTCTTTCAAGGAAGTGATGATGATGGAGCACATGATGAAACAGCACAATTAGTTAAGCAGGAGCTAAAAAACAAAAGCAATCTTCCACCTCCCCCAGCAACCAATGATTAAAGTACTAAGTTCAAAGAGCAAAGGAGGAAAAGCAGGGCTAGGAAATGAGACCAGAGACACAAAGCACTGCTGCATTCTCTCTTAAAATGTAAATATGTGATCAAAGATGATTAAGAATTAGTCTCCAGATTAGAACAGCAGATCCTCACTTCTACACCATATGTATCAGGCATTCACATACACTCAAGTGGGAAAAGGCAGAATACACAAGATGAAAGAAATAAAGCAATGCAGAATGATAGAGAAAAAGCAGACAGCATTTGGAAACTAAAGGATCAAACAATCATATAATTCCCACCATGGTTGATAGGATACTGGAAGAAACAAGTGGATTCTAGAAGAAAGCGAGAAGGAATACAAGAAAAAGAAGTGCTAATTTCAGCTGTTGCCCTGTCCTGAACTTATTTCACAAACCTACTGGTTTAAGAGTAATTGCTTTGTAAATCAGATGCAGAGAACTTATTCAATTGGGCTTCTAGAGATCCACAACTACTAACAAATCAGTACAAATAACAAGTAAACAACTCACTGTCTTTGCTCCACTCTTCAATATTTCAGACGAAACCAAGTATGACATTCTAGACATGCAGTCTCAGACTTAAGAATAATTTGGGGTTGATTTCCAAAAGAATCAGTGGGAACACTAAGTACCCATCCTTTGCAAAACTGTACCTTTCTCTGACCATGTAATCCAAACAAAACACAGCGAGTCTGAAGACTTTTGGTTAATCTCTGGCTAATACCAGAGCTCTAAATTTAAAACTTTTTCACATTAACTCTGGGACTGTTTAGTTTCAAGCATAAACTTCACAGTTAGCTACTGTTTCCATAAAGAGCCTGACCTGGAAATCCACATTCACTCATGAAGGTGGAGAAATATGTCATACGAGAAGGCAAAAATGACACAACATAGGGGTACATCTACATTTCTTTTGAATTTGATCACATACTTCTACAGCTACGTGCAGAAACTGAGTGAGGGGGAAACAAGGAGGAAAAAATCCTCCATAGAATCAACACTAATACTTTCAGTGAGCTGAATGCAAGCTTCACACAGAACTACAACCATACTTTTAATAGATGGCATTAAATTTTCTGCCTCTATGGAACCCTACAGAAAAAAAATGATTTTGCAGAATCTCACATTTCCCAGTCATCTCCAATTTAATTCTCTGAAAGCTGAGATTTTTAAGAATTTATTTGTGCAAAAGAAAAAGAAATATATCTGACATTTGTTTCTACAAGGAACAATATTGTTTTAAAACATGATTTTACATGAAGCCTATTCTCTATTTTTCACTACTGTAAACACAGCATTTCATAACTTTTTCCACAGTTAAACTGTTCAGTAGCCACAGGATAGCCTTCAGTTTCTACTTTAAACTGCAGAAGCAAAGAATTTGACCTGATTTGGGAGTGAAGTTTCCTGCTCGTTAGTTGGAAACAGCACTGTAAACACAAAAGTTGTTTAAGAGACTGGTATCTCTAAGTCTTAGGCAATTTTCTACATGAATTAGGCCATGGAACATTGCCAAGTTTGGAAAAAAGTACAAATGGAGAAAAATGATAATATGTGAAATGCAAGAACTTTGTACCTGTATGAGAGAGGCAGCAGCTGGAATTTGACGGTTGAAATGCTTCTGTCTTTGTTTCTGCTGTACCTTCAGGGCAAAGCCTGAACCAAGGATTCCCTTTGGGAACAAAGAAAACATACAACTAATTTTTTTTTAAACATATTTTTAAAAGGACGAAAGAAAGCACACAAGCTTGCCAAATTATGTTGCATTAATGAACTCCCATTCAGCATCATAAAACCCCACTAATTACTGAGAGGAAATGACTTAATACTGTTTTTAGACTCAGTTAATATTACTTGTTGAAACAAACTATGAATTCTCTCGTGCCCTGATTCAAAACCTGTTTAAGTCTGCTGAGTTCAAACACTAAAAAGCAAGCAGCAGTGGTAATTCATACCCTCCAAAAGCCTCATAAAATGCTTGTGCAGGAGAATGACAGAATAGGGAAAAATATAAACCTGATGTGCTTAACTTCATTTTTATTATTAATAAAGCTTTGGCATGGTAAGATCCAGGTCACAAGAAAGCCTTTTTAACTGTAGTAAAAAACTGTAGCTCCTACATTTATACATTATCCTATGCAGGAATGGGAAGATGAGAAAAAGGAAAAGGAACATAAAAATAGTCAGGACTAAGGTGACTTCAACTTGAGGCCATCTTAAGCATTTTCAGGATAAGCAGCATGGCACTGGAAGCAGCTTCCAAACATAGTTTAAAGTCCATAATTAAGTATAAGGCAAGTCACTTATGTGGTCATGTGCATAGCTACAGCCATATTTAACAAAGATTTTACTACCAGACAGATAAAAATACTGAAATCTTCCATAAATCAGCTTATATAACTGCACCTACTCAAAAAAGCATATTCTGCTTTCTGCAGTCAAGGTATCAGGGCAGCCAGTGATCTTGGCTCAATCTGTAAGAACTGTATTAATCACTCGGTGCTTTGAAAGAAACAGGAAAGACCTTTCCTATTACAATCATTGAGCCAAGATCAAAGACTTCATGATGATCAAACATCCCATGTTTGGAAAATGCAGGATCACTGCTAGACCCAGAACTCACATCAGTTTCATTTAGCCACAGCAATTATTTTTGTCTGGGATCTTAGACAGTTCCCCTCATTTAAAAAGGAAGCAGGGCAGTGTGCAACAGTTACCGCTAGAGCTTCAAATCCTAAGTTTCCCCTTACGAGCAACTCACAGAAATTGTTCAACTCAATAATAGAATCTCAGTGATAAAGGTGCTGCTGGGGTGTTCTTTCATTTCTACAGGTAAACAGAAAAGCATTACTGTAAACGTGGGGCTGATATACATGTATTTATACGACATCTTGCTGTTTTTCAAGTCCAAGAAGAAAAACAGCCAAAAAAGCACATTTTCACATTTCTCGTGTAGTTCATTTCATTTACTAAGTCTCTCTTCTAATCAAGGTATAAATGTGAAAGTAAAAAGGGGAGAATATATCTTGAAGACACACTGATGTTGGAGAGTTTAAAAATCTATACTTACTTTAAAAGTACTCAACCTTTTGAAGAGTAATTAAGTGACTACTTTTAAACAGCCACTTTAGTTTTAACAGCTGCTGTTAAATATTGTGAAGAATTTTTGTGGAGGTTTTGGTATCAAAATATTATTATTATCCATCGCAAGCTTATTCCCAACACTTCCCTGCCACAGTCATATTATGCTAATACAGTTGAAAAACTTGCTAAAAAATAAAGCTGGCAAGATTTTGACAGCAGGAGATATTCTATTCGGATCCAGATTTTTTTCATCCAATTCACATCCAATTTCACCTTTTGACAGCACAGTTCAGGTTGCACAAACATTTTAGAAGCACAATTTACAAGTACTGCTGAATTTTTGAAAGCAATACCCTTACTGACTCTTTGCACTGAACAATTTTGGGTTTCCAAACCACAATCTAGGTTTTGCTGATCTTGAATTTACTTTTGGTATTCAGGTATCCCATATCTTTTTAGAAAGTACTAATCTGTCCTCAGCGCAAAGAGCCAATATATCTTTAAAATCTCATCCCTAAATCACTTTTGAACATGAGACTTTGGCCATAGTCATACATTAACTTGGCAAGCAGATGCATTAGCTGACAGCATCTCTGCACCTGACTGCTTACCGCTGCCTCTGCCAGCAACACCGTTTCTGTAGCTCTGCCAGAGGAAGAGTGTGCATAAGAACCCTCCAGTTTACCTTGGACTTAATCAGTTGAATAAACTACGAGTAAATGTCTTAAAAAGTCAAAACATTAAGTCACGAAGTCCAGAAGTAAATAACATGAGAAGTACTTTCTTTGCACTTCCTAGATGGGCAGAAAGAAAGTGTTTTGAATTACACGTCCCTTTCTCAAATGCACAGAAAATCTAATGTTGCATACAATAAGAACTCTATGTTTGGTTTTAGATTCTGAAGCTTAAGGAGTTATTAACAAAAAGCTTCTTCTCAGAATGAATGGATCAACAACAAAAAAATAACCTACCGCAGGTAGTGCAAAAAATGAAATTGCAAACACTGAAAAACAAGAAGCGATGGTCTTTCCAATCCAGGTCTGAGGTACTTTATCCCCATAGCCAATAGTTGTAACTGTCACCTGTGAGGAAAAACACATAGAGCTTTACAGAAAGTTTTAACCCGTCAGTTTTGGTTGGCTTTTCTTTATTTCATTTTCATTAATTATTTTAAAGAAACATCAGTGGCGTTCCTAACGCTCCCAGTGACAATCTGTGTGACATTAAGAAGGCAGTTCCCTGCTCTCGGTCTGCTTCCTCATCCATAATAGAATGAAGGAGGTACAGGAAATTGAATTACAATAAAATACATGTTTAAAATCTTGTAAAGCAAAACCATTAATGTAAGTCTTTGTGGCTTAGTCAACTTTACAGTATAGGAGTTTCTGGGCTGTGGGCTGCCTGCCCACACCATACCCTTCCCTGAGAGGGAGGCTGCCAGCAGTTCTGAATTGCTGATTTTCTTTATGGGCAGGAGAAGTTTGCTGAGAGAATTTGAGGGCTGTTGCAAGGAAAGTCTATATACATGTACACACACTGTAACTATGGAATACAAATGGGGTCAGACATGAAGTATTCTAGAGAATAATGTTGGCATAAACAGCAAGAGAAGCAGAAAAATTTCCGTACAGCAACAGATCCTTAAAACAGACTAATGAATCATAAACTCGGACAGAACATCGAGAGCAAGAACAGATAATTTAATGCACACATACAGGAAACATCTGTTGAGTTTGGGTTCCACTGAAGTAAAGATTGCCACCATGGTGATGTAGCATAACAAGGCTTAATAAGTCATCATTTACAGGAGTTCAAGGAAAGAATGGATTTGTTTGAAGCAGAAAGGATATATTTGGCATCTGAGAGCAATTTAAATTCACCTATGTCACAAGCTATTCCTGAATTTGGAAATTAAAGAGATTTTTATCTGTGGCTTTGAAGAAGGCTAACCAAACCAGAACATGTGAAACACATGAAGCTCTCAAGCAGCAGAAGCACACCTCAGCTGCTGGCTTTTCACATTTCCCTCTGAGAGCATGAGCTTCAGCTGCACAGGCCACAGAAGACATCAGTCCCATACAGCAATACCCACACACCATCCCTCCTGCGCCTTGCAGCCACTCCCAGTTCACCTGTCAGCTTCAGTGCACACTCCCCAGCAACTGCAGAAACACAGGCAGCATCTCCAGAGGAGGAAAGAAGAGAAGGGAAGGGCAGATTTATACAAGTGAGATATTTCTTAATGGCGTGAAGGAATGGAGACCTTGGGAAATCGATGGTTGTGACAGGTGGTTCAGAAGTGCTGCCATCTGTCACATTAATAGCCATCCATTCCTCTTAAAAGATGAGACAGCAGAGGGAAACACTGTATATTTATGTTCCCACCTGAGCTGTACCCGAAAAACACCTGAAGCAAGCCATCGACTCTCACTACCCACCTTCCAAGCAATTTATCGTTCTGTGTCTGTCAAATGCATGACAAAAGGACAGCTTTGGCTACTTGAAATGATGATGATGCAAGTTTGTTGCAAGTCACTGATAGATTAAAATGAAATAATGTTCTGGATAAGTTCTTAAACTGTGGCTTATTTCCAAACCTTGTTCCCATCCAATACAAGGATTAGTAAGGCCAGTAAACAAATACCTTAGTCTATATTCTTGATATTGCTGAAATTCAAAGCCTTTGAAGAAACTCAAGTGATTATTTTATCCTGTAAAACCATATGAGAGGATCCATTTAAAGGAAACCCTAAATTTTAATCACAATTTTTCTGCTCACAAAACGTTGTCTTACATAAACAAGTGAATTCTGGAAAATGTGATGGCCTCCAGCACCATTTTACATCAAAGATTATGAGATGAGCTCTTTCATGCCTCAGTTTTAAAAAACTTTATACAATCATATCACTGAAAAGCAGTATCAACTATTGTGTATTACAATCTTAATGGCCTGTTTAAATACATACATCAACTAGAAATGTGAAAATAAACAGATGCACAGGAAAAACCCATACAAATCTGAAAGGTATCTGTCTTTCCCTCCCTCCACTACCAACCCCATCCATTCCCTCTACACGAAGGATCAATGATAGAATAAAAGTATTTTATGTGCATTTTGTTTGGGATATATATTAAAAAAAATACACAGTTTGGTCATAAATAACTTGCAAATCACAACATGTGTTTAAGTTAACATTTTCCTCTATTCCCACAACTAACCCATTTCCAAGTGTATTGTGTTCCAAAATTACATTTTCTTTTTCACCAAAATATATGTTGTTGAAAGCTTGTATGCCAAGTTTCTGCCCTAAGTGATCTTTTTTAGTTAGGTTTAAGCCCCCTGAAGAGTACAATACTAATTTTAGAATTGTAAAATAGGATCATAATAATGGAAATATTGACTCAACTTCTACTCTAGCATACTAAATACACGGGCATAATAAAACTAAATTGATACAAGAGCTCACACATTAAATTTTCATCACAAAGCAGTATGGAAAACTAATTGTTTTAATTAGAGAAAAATCGTATTTATCCACTGACTATTTCAGAACTTTGATCTGATGTACATCACAGGCTTTGGCGCTATGATTAATCTTGTCCTTATTATACATGCATGAATAGTCTAACAGAGGAAATGTGAAGCAAAAACAAAATCTGACAACAACTGAAAACAGTGATCACACGCTGTTCGCCATTTCTGAATAAAGGTTTTATTCAAGGCTGTCTGGGTAGAATGAGAACAAACTAAGCAGGTGCGTAAAGTTGCTCTTGTGATGAAATACTGAATGCCTTGTGCTGCTGTAGGTAGCTCCGCAGCTATAGAATACAAGAATGCATGACTCAGTGGCAATAAAAGGGGAGATATCACAGGTCTGGGTTAGCAAACAAAGTAGATTTTGTTCGCTGAAGCAAACAAGGGAATGCCATCTTTAAAAACAAAGAAATTAAGGTAGTCTCCAAATTTGTAGCACTGAAACCTCAAAATGAATTGCACTGGGTTTTTGTGTTGCTTTTTTTTTTTTTGTATACCAAATAACATGTAGAATTTTCTGACCACTTAAGTACTCATCTTCATTAAATCAAGCAATATAAGAACATCCAGAGATACACCAGAAACACTGACTGTTTCCTTGACTTCTTTGCAACTGAAATATAGTGTAAACTGCTAAGTGGTTTAAATGCTCTTCTGTAAAGAAAACACTAGAAGCTTTTCTACTGCCTGATGTCTTACTTAGTCAACTGCATTTCTGCCTGTTCAATATAAAGTACAATCTTTCCCAGCTCTTAAGATTAATGCATTAAGTGTAAATAGATCAGATACTTATGCTTACTTTGTTATGAAGTATGCAGTCTGTATAAAGCTAAAGAAAAATAGAAAAACCCAACGGTAACAGATCAGTGCTGCCCAGCTATCACTCACAGGTCCTAGTCTAATACTAGCCATTCTAACCATCTCCACTTCAGAGAGATCACTGAGAAAAAGTCCTAAAATAAACAAAAAACTGGTAAATATTAAAAGTTAATTGAGCTCACCTAAAATTTGAAAATGTGCTCCTGTGGGCCAAAAAACAAACAAACAAACAAACAAGGGGGAGTGGGTGGGACACGACAGCAGCTTTACCCAGCTTAGTAAGCACACAGGATACAAGGGGGCTTTCTGGTTGCTATTTCTAATTTATGGGTAGGCCAAGTCAGCCAAAGTACATCATTTCATTCACTACTTCTTGAAAATGCAATTCAATTTGAAAATTAATTAGCGTTCCTCTACAGTTTCTATGGGGAGGTTCTGCAGCAGAACCTGGAAAAGCTTCTGATGAGAACTGACACTCCTGCAGGCTCATATTTATTTCCAAAATATGAGAAATCCAACTTCATTTTTTTTGTTCCTCTGTTTCATGGTCTCATTTTATTCATCTCCATTCTTTCGTCAGCCAGCTCCTGCAGTACACATACCTGCAACACAGTGCACTACAAAGGCCATTGGATCCCATTTTCAGTGTTTAGCCTCACAAACAAAATCTGTTTTCAGTAGCTCTTGTGAAACAAGCTGTTCCCTCCCTGACTGTAGTTCTCAAGGAGAACAAGATGTAGGACAAACGTACTGCACAAAAACAAAGAGAACTGTGCATTATTAGTGAAGGCATGGGCAAACAGTCAGTGTTCATCTGAACTGGAGTTTTGTTCAGCCCTACCAAAATACAAAGGTAACTAAATTATGAAAACTGTCTGGCACAAAGTCTTAAAACCTCCTAAGCAATATCATCATCTGTCTATCAAAACTCTCTAAGGAACGTAATAACATATAGCGCAAAAGATTTGTGATGCTTTTTACTGGGAGTTAACTGACAATTTTAGACCTGAACGCAGTAGTTAACATGTACACAAGCAACAAAACTCACAGGTGACCCAGTAGCTTTGTGCCCTCACCTGATAATTCACTGTGAGTTGTTCAGGTTTTTTACAGTACAGCAATATGTGCTCTTTTTCTCTGGGACACTGCAGGCTGCACTGCCTTGTGCCAGTCCTTCTCTACTACCTCATCAGATGAATGAGAAATAGCAGGAGCTCTGCTGGCCATCAGCAGTCAGCATGCAGAGTCAACAGGCAGCTCTGCCTACAAGATCTGCTCTCACCAGTGCTCCAGTGCCGATCTCGACCACACAGAGTTCTCTAATCTGTAGTAAAAGGCTTTCTGTTGTCCAGACCTTGTGCAAGATATCATTTCTGCACAGAAAGCGTCAGAAAATAAAACAGCAAATTCAAATGGGCCATGATTTTGAAAGTGCTGGGGAAAGTTATGACCATAAGCAGACAGTCTGACTGCAAGTTCTGAGCTGCTTCTGGAAATTCTGCAGCATTTTTCTTCTGCTCTGTAGTAATATTACTATTACTACACCTCACAAAACAGTCATTGTAATTCAAAAGAAACAGTATTATTTAGGTGCAAGAAGAAAAAAAATAATGCTTAATTACATACAAAATAGCCAAATATCTTAGGAGGAAACTCTGAAAACCCTGTAAGAACTTTCCCTACAAGGATAGTTCTAGACATGAGATAGGAAAATGAAGTGAAATTAATTAGGCTTTGCTAAGCAGGAACACTGTTTTGCTTAGAAGTAAACTTATCAGTGTTTGTTGAATTCGTTCCTTAGTGAGAAAGCACGTATTTCAAAATTAAAGGAATAGGAAACTCTTAACTAAAGCTGGTATTTGCAGACAAGTCCTCAATCCAATCCAAAGGAATGGGCATAGCGCGATATTCATGCATGGCTATAGTCAATAATTGCTTCTGGCAAACAGTGCTCATGATTAAAGAGACTGCTAGCACAATCCACATAATGGTTTTCCTGAAGGATGTTTGTTCAGATGTGAAAGCTGGAAATTGTGTACCAATCAGTGGATATCAAAAGGAGAGCTCCCATCCATCTGCCTGAGGCGTGACCAATTTTACTACTTAAAGGGAAGAAAAAAAATTAAACAAAGAAAACCTAAGAACAACAACGAAACAAACAACGGAAACAACAGGACAATAACACTTCCTGATGAAGATCTTCTTTGAGAGACTGGATAAGAACATCTTGCTGGTTTGGTTAGTTTGGCGTTTTAATTCTTGTTTTTATCATCTTTCTTTAGGTCTTAGTGACTGCATGCTTTGTTACACAGAACAGTGTAACAGGTTGCATACCTGCCCTATGTAGATGAGAGGTGGATCATGTAAATTAAACGCAAGTAACAAACAACAACTTTGTCTTTTACAAGGCATACAAGACAGGCTGCCATCAGCAGAATTACTTATACAATACACTCTGCATTCAAAAGCAGCAGTAATACAGACAAGACTTTATTCCACGTGACAAGGTAACCACAGTTTTCTCCAAGCAGCCTACAAGCTAGCCAATAACAACAGCCTGGAGTACTGAAGGAAATTCAAATAACGTCCAGGATGCCATTTTACATATGGAAATGGAACAACAATATAGGTTTAAAAATAACAACAATGACAATGAAGAACATTTAATTAAGAGTTATGCACCCTATGGGTATGCCTACAGTCAGCAAAGCAAAGCAATATAAAAGTACCCAGTTCCAGATGGAGTTTAGTTGTGGTAACATAGACCTTTTAAATTACCTACTTTATGCTATGCTGCATGTTCTGTTACCATTACCCAAAGAACTACGTTAGCAGCATAGATATACACTGAGCTAATTTAAAAAAAAAGAGAAGCACTGTGCTATATATTGTGAAATGATGGGTGTGTGAAAACAGCATCAAGTCCTGTTCTTTTAGATGTATTGCCTGCTACAAAAGCCAAATAGGACACTTTTCGAGCAGTGAGATCAGCTGCGTGCCAGAGAGATCATATAACTGTGGTGGTCTTTGAGATAGGAATTGCAAATTACTTTTTGCATACCCAGTCCAAAACAGATGGAGATAGGTTTTCAGTGAGCAGAATTCGAGCCATTCTGAAAATTCTGCCTAAAACATAACTGAAACTTTTAGGAACTAACAGTTCAAGAGTTGTTTGTTGTTTTGTTTTAAATAATTTGAGACCCTCAGCAGGAAGCATCCGTCAGATATTGGACCAAGTTTGTAGGTTCTTTTTTTAATCTAGTTAAAAAAAAAACAACAACAACCAAAAAAACTAAAAATCAATCAGAAAGAACTAATAATCAAACAAAAAGAAACAACAATCAAGAAGAGATAGGTCTGAACTTATTTCAGTTATGTTTTATTAAATCCTTCCAACAATCTGCAGCTAGAGCAGAACAGGGACACTAAATTCTATTTCTAATATTAAGCAAGTTCCATTAGAGACTTACTGAATACGGTAACACACAGTCCAAATGGTATCCTGAAATAAATTATGACAGGAAGACAATGTGACCATAATTAAATCTGTTGATTAAACAAGTTTACTGTAATGAAAAAGAATAAATAATAAATAACTGGCATATGTATTAATCGAGCAGTAATTCCTTGGAAAGAAAGTATTTCAATATCCTGACAGATCTCATTGCATCCGTGGAAAGAAAGCTTTACTGTATTTCTAGAAAGCCAACCTCATCTGTCACGTATTCAATTTTTAATGCTAATGCCAATGACAGCATGTGTTTTTACATGCAGCCTCATCTGCCATTGTTTATTACTGATTTATGTGAGTCCTGTACTGTAAAATAAAAATACTGTGATGATATGAAAGCATCAGAGAAGCTCCTTGCCAGAAAGCCACTTCCTTGCACTACACAGCAAGTTTTCTGGTGCTAGAGGGAGCTTTCTATCATGGCAAACGCAGAGAAAAGAATTCATCAGCAGATTTTAGTAGCAACCTACACACAATCTGCTGGATTCATACAAGGGTATATGCTTTTATTATTTCCTTCCTGAAATGGAGTGTTGTAGTGTTTGTAGAGAGAAGACAATATGAACACACACACGGAGGAGTTTATAAAAAACTATTTCTCAAGAAGATTCTGTCAGTGAAAAGGAGGTATGAGGGCTGCTCCATACATAACGATTGACTCATAGAGTGGCTTAAGTTGGAAGAAAGATCATCTAGTTCCAACTTCTTTCCTTTGAAGTCTAGCAGGAAAAGGAAAGGAAAACAATTACAAAACGAAAATCCCAGAACATAGCAGCCAACATAATATTTGCAAATCATGGGAGAAAAGGAGGGAATTGTTACTATCAGAAACAACAGAATTCAAATGAGCTGCCAAATCAGTATGTACACATAAAAAATAGAAAGACAACTGTCACTACTAGCCATTGCAGCAGAGATTTATGAGCAAAACTGAAGACTCATCTACATGTCAAAGTATGGGAACATCTTGGAGACACCTGTAATACCTCTGAGCAAGATAGGAATAAACTCAGTGAAGAGGAATGCCACATAAGGCTACTGAGTCGGTCCCAAAGCAATATAGTAATTTAAAAAGGTCCTGTGCCCAGATTTATTAAGCATCTCAGATGATCCTCGTTTTGGAACTAGTCTATTCTGATGAAGCAGGAAATTACTGTACCAGGCTGAATGATAAACCATAGATAAGCAGAATAACAACAACAACAAAAAGAGGAAAACCCTGACTTAGCAAGCCTTATTGTATTAGAAGGTTGAATCCTACCATGAGATATGCAGCAAGTAAATTACTATAACACATGGGAAGACAGCATGTAGAAATAAGAGTAGATTTTTCTATACCTTGTATACAGAACTTGATCACTTTGGATCACATAAGACAAGAAACACCAAATAAAACCACAGATCTTCTATAGTATTTTCTTGGTTTCACAGACTCACGAAAAACAGAAAATTTATTGCAGCAATAAGAGGCCATGTCAAAGTGCTGCTCTCTCTCCGTGTCTGCTTGAACTACGCTTCATACTTGAGACTGCTAACATGTAAAATTGCCATACTTACTACTCCCCACCATAGGGCATCTGCATAGCTGCCAAACTCTGTTTCTCCAGAATCATTTACAGCATCTTTTTCAGCCAGGTACACAAAATAAGAGGAAAAAATCAGGCCCAGAAATCCAATGTAGAGTGTAGTTATCAGTTCCTGCAAACAGAGTCAAAATAACATTGATTCAGTACTGTTAAGACATCTAAGTTACACATCGCTGGTGCTTTCTAAAAGAGAACTGGTTCAGAAGAATGCAGTTTCAGCATGTAATAAACACTGACACCAACTGTTGGCTGTGCAATTTAATAAGAATCCACTGTGCTCAGTGATGAAAGAATTTACTGAGTATCTAACGATCCGTCCCAGCGTGCACTGCCTGAACGTTAGAAATAACCACATGTTCCTCACGTGCAAATGTGACAGATTAACTTTTTGGTCACCAAAATTTGGATGGTTGAATTTTTCATACAGTGCTACTGTATTCAAAACAACTTTATGACTTAGATATATATTTTACAGAAACATTCACATTCTGTCTTAAAAGTCTCATTCTCTGTAGTTAAGTCCACATATACATCAAAAGTTTTCCAAAGTGTAGGTGAATATTTTTAATATTTTACATGCTTTTTTGTCCCTTGAACAGGATAGAACAACTGCATTTGGATAAAATAAATGGCCGCCTGTCTCCACATTGAATATATTTAACATCATATGGATGTCTGCATAGACACTGCTCTGAATATAGGAACTTAAATTACTATTAAACAAATGGCATCTATTATTTTGCCATTCCTTGGAGTACCCAAACTTACTTGTCTGTGAATGAAGACGACTGATCCCAACAGCCTCCACGTGCCACCCTGACGGTCAACATGCAGCATCCGCAAAATCTGCAGGAAACGGATGCCCCTAGAACAAAAGTTTTAAATGAATGAAGAGGCCAAACATACAAGAGGAGAAAAAGAGGTTGAGAGAGGAAGTCTGTGCCTTCCAAAGGACCGTTTTAAAAGAGATGCACAGTATTTTATGGTAGACTTCAATGTTTGTCTCTTTGAGGAGCGGGGGATGCATGCCTAGATGTTCACTCCTACCCCAAACAGACATAAATCCATTGCTGGAGTAAGAAAATTACAACCAGAAAACAGATTAAAAATTTTATTCTCACTACACTTCATGACATCACTATTTCACACCCATATGTGAATGGTCATCTGCTCTGTTACTCTGTGAATGTCAGAGGAGAGACTGCTTTTCACCCTTACGGGAGGTAAACAAAAGGGGGGAAAAAAGCCACCTAACTCAAATAGACAGCATTATTTTCTTCTATTGCATATAATTACCTGATAGCTGAGGTTGCAAAGACTTGACCTTTAGAGCCCACACACAGAACTATCATGGAAGCGACAACTACAATTAAATCTGAAAAATAAAAGTCAGTTGAAAAAAAATGAGCTAGAGACAGCTTGTAATGCTTCCACAAGGCTGTTACTATAACCAATGTCAGTTTTACTTGGAACAATGACCCCATCAGTTTTATCTCAAGAGATCTCTACTGTAACAGAGATTTTATAGCTGCAGTCACATCCGAGAGGCAGTCTCACATAGATATAAAGTAAGTTGAAAGTATGTATTATATATGCATGCACACAGAGAAGTTAAACCAAGCAACTTTATGATTGTAACAATATCCAGGTACAAAATTTTGTAATTTACATTTGAAAAGCTTGCAAATTGCTTATGAAACAATTCTGGTATATTTTGGTCAACGACAAATAGCATTTCTGAGTAGTGGAAAGAACTGCCAGAAAAACAAGCTTTATTGCGCTTCTATAACAATACTCCTCTCCAAAACTTGTTCTGTTTAATCTATTTATATTTTAAGTGCTTCAGGGCAACTGTCTTTATATAGCTTTCTTATGAGTGAAGAGTGCTTCTAGGTTATTACATTTCTCTCAGTGAAATTAAACACAGGACAACCATTCTATAAAAAATATGAGTTATGACATGTAGAGAGAATGCCAATGCAATTTCTATGAACACTGAAGTCAGTCAGGATATCAACTACAATGGCGTCCAGATCCAAATGCATTGCTGAGAATCAGTTTTTAATTTAATTGGTACACGAAGTAATTGCGGTGTATCTATTGTGCTTCACCAGGCAATGTGTGCCTCAATTAGAGTGCAAAGTAACTCGTATTAAAATACTCAGAGGGCTTTCAGGGAAGAAAAAAATAAAGGGGATTTCAGCATCTTTAAAAGAAAAGAAGTTGCAGCAATTCTAAGTGTTTGGGTCCCGAGGTTGCAGGAGACAGGACTATGGGTGAGACTTATTTCTGGCAAAGCTTCAGATCACTTGTGAAAAGAAAACACACTGCTTTTCTGGAAAAACAAGCCAAGCTACATTTGTTTTCCAAAGAGTGCTGTGGATTTCTGAAAGGAAACTCAGATCTACGATAATACTAATGAGAAGAGCTTTCCCTTTCACTTGGCTCCCATTTCCACTGAAATTTATCTTTTCAGAACTTTGAAGTGTAACCGTTACTTGGTGTTTACATCAACCTTGCAAGCTGTGCATACTCACCGATGATTGAAATAGGCTTCCTAGCAAAACGAAGCCTTCCCCATATTCCAACATATTTACTGCGACATCCTGCTGACCATAACCGAACCACATATTCTGTTCCAAAGAATACCACTAACACAATTTCCTAAAAGAAACAGAAGACGGACAACTAGGTTAATGTTCTACTGTCTTTCCATCTTTTTTTTTTTTTTTTTTTTTTTTTTTCCCAGTAGCTATTGGGAAATGCTAAAATAAAATGCACAATTTGGAAGGTTAAAAAACAAAACGAAACAAAACAAAACACAAACTATTCAAAAACTACTTAAGGTAACAGAAAACCTGGCAAACAAAAATTAAAGATTGAGAGCAAATGTAAATACTTTAATACTTTAATTGCATGCAATTTGGCTCGCCTACATGTGCAAGAACTGAAAACCATTCCGTACAATTAATTTGGTCTCTGTAATTCAAACAAAAGGTTTCCTAACCAAGCCAAAGAAAACAAACAGAGCCCATATTCAGAAGATGAGTATTTTTCTAGTGAATTTCATTTCAGGAAGAGGTGTGCTTCACATCCCGCTGACCATACCAACCACACATTTATTTATACTTTTTCAATCTTCTTTTAATCTTACATGGATGAAAGTAACATTTCTAGTACCCTCTACTGACATGCCAATACCCAGGTGTGATGAAAACACTGTAAGACATCAGGCACCCCTTCTTGTCAACAGTAAGAAACAGGAGTCTCGTCCTGAAGTGCTGTGGGTACCGAACCACGTGTTAACCACAGACTAACTTCCTGCTTTGGAAATCTGTACAGAGCCATAAATCTCGAAGACATCTGACATTTCTGTTGGTACACAAAGGTACCATTCTGTCATTTTTTGAACTTGGTGTGCAGATAAACCTTGCTTTCATAGAGACTGGTTGAGTGTGGCACATTCAATATAGTTACCTCAAATACCAAGGAAAGGCAGTACTTCCTTACTGGCCAACTTCACTAATAACAGGTCACATTCTCTATCACAGTCAACAGCAGAGACTGCTAATTGGAATGGTAACAGTGGCTTGTAGCTGAAAATACACAGAGCGTGGCATACAGAAAAACTAAAGCAGATTAGTTACTACAGCTCTGTAGGACAACGCAGATAATGAACTCCTTATTACAGAGAGCAATTTAACATGAAAAAGAAAATGAAATCTGCTGAACATTTTACCCAGCCTCTGCCATTTCTGCAGCGTTCGCTGCTATTTTTCATGAGATCAAATTAGCAAATGTGACTCAAAGTGATGTTCTAAATCAACTAAAATACTCAACATGCAACCTTAACCCAGACAACACCAATGAAAGTCACATCATAAGCCTCAAAGATGGACAGGACATTGCCCTGAAAGGCCAGTAAAATAGAAGCCTAGAAGCAGTTAGAAGAGGGGAAGAAATTGTTATGCATTAATACACTTCACGGTATTATTTGTGTGGCTTCAAAATTCCAGTCTTCTGATGGCATAAAGTGCTCACCTCAGGGCACTTCAGTGTTGAAATTACTCTGCAGCACTTCCAAAAAGCTAGGAGAATGCCAGGACTCTCCTCCTCAGTTATGAAAGTCTTATCATGCCTGCATGATGTCAGGTGCAGCAGAAGAACATCACAGTCGGTTATATTGTATTCCAATTACATTTTCAACATCTAATGAAATTGTTCAGATTGTTGGCTGTAATGAATATAAAGCTCAGACCCTTTGACCCAGCCAAGAATCTCTTGTACAGCTTGCTGCTGAAAGGATCCATCAGAACCCTTCACTTATCTTTAACTAATTTGGAGTATTATTAAATCTTTTTTTTTTCAATAAAATAAAGCCATATTTAAAGTCATAAGTCTAAAGAAACAGTCTCTGTAGCAAGCTCTTTAAGGAAAGATTGTGTCTTCTGATAGAAGCTTCAAATGAAACAAAATTCTCCCTGGTCCAGTTTCACTTCAAGTCGTTGAAGAACCTACACCAAAGGACAAAATTAACAGTGCTGTTTTCTGTGAGGTTCCATTACTGCAAAACAAACTAACAGAGGCTGTCTTTGCTGACCAGATGACTGCATTCATTTCCAGGACATTTTCAATAAACTCTAATATTCAAGAACATTTCAGTCTACAGAAAACGAATGCGTCTTCTTTCATCAGTACTAAGAAAGAAAATCCCTCAACAAAAGACAATAGCAACTGAGCAAAGAGCAAAAACTGCCCTTCATTCAAAATAATTAATTGGAGGAAGGGAAGTATTGCCTCACATCATATGCATTAGCCATTAGCACAGACAATACTCTTCAGATAACCCTGAAAAGCAGGTTACAAAAAAAAAAAAAAAAGAAAAGAAAAACAAAACCAAGAAATTTAGTAGGAAAAGACAAAAAAGACAAACCCACAGGAAAGATTGTTTTTGCACAATAAAACAGTCCATGCACAGCCAGAAACCACGGGCTTGTCAGGATTGCAGTTTCGTTTTGATAGCAAGAAGGTAAAAATTGAAAGCCTGGATTGTGCTTTAAAGAAGTGTGTATTCTCTGCGTAGGAAATTTGCATCAGAGCTGTGTGTGTATGTTTTTTAAGGCCCCTCCATGGTTCGTTGGCTAACAGGAACATTGGCAAGTATGCAAATGTGGGCTGTTCCAAAGACAATGCAACAGACATGCAGTCAATGGTTACTGTCATCCAGTTCTTTGCATGACACGCAGACAAGCTTAGAGAACATTGATTGTTCTATAGACTCCAGTGACTGGAGGGAACGACCAGTCGGCTTACACCAAGACACATTTTTCACTCCTGACGTTTTGATAAAGGCTTATTGACCTAAATGAGACCCGAGTTATTCAGGGAACATCAGGGGTGAAAGTGCACAAGCTGTTCTTCATGGTCATGCACAAAACCTCCAGGTATCCATTAGCAACTGGCAAATTCCCCCTCCCCTGCCCGTGGCTGTGTGACAGACAAAAGTGTTTTTAATACCTTGCATTGCATAAGTCTAATAAGTAATCCCTCAGGGGCAGAGAAGCCCGATGAATTTCTTGTCAGTACACATTTATATTAGTGGCCAGAAACTTGCAGACAACGGAGAAAAAACAGACTGGAAAATTATGCTTTACTGAATTACCAAATAGGAAAGTGCTAAATTTACTGACTACTAAATAGGAAAGCACATCCTATTTTTTCCATATGACAGATTAGCATGAAATGTAACATCAACTTGAAGGATGGCAACCGGATCCTTAGTTCATTTAAATGCAGCTGGTAATTAGGGTTAATCAATTTACTGGGATAGTTACACTGCATAGAGCAGTAGAGTCTCACACCTGTGTATCTCAGATAATCAGAGTTGCACTACAGATGAATACGGGCCACTGTTTCTCAGGCACTTCCTCCTGCATGCCCATTTAACACATAGCTACCATAAAAATGTTTTGGTGCATCTCACAACCTGCTAGACCGAAACACCACCTCAGGAAGATTCAGAATGAAAATGATACAGGGAAATGGAAGAATAAAGCACTGAGCAGGCAAAGAGAATGTAAAGGAAGAGTGAAATAAGAAATGAAGCAACAGTCAGCACAAGGGAAAAACTAAAATGCAGAAGAAACTGCAGGACACAGGTAGAGATGAAGATTAAAGCTCAACAAAGGAGTTTTCTTGCTTAAACTTATATGTGCATATGAGAACTGCACTGTGCAGTGACACACAACCCTTTGCAGCTTAATTCTGATCTCCTTTCTACAAGGTGAAAGCAGAAACATCTTACTGAGATTTAAAAAAATTATACTAATATGACAAAATGAGCTCTCCAAGAGATGGAAGTCATGCACCTTCACGCTGTGAACACAGAGAAGCCCTCTTGCATAAGAGATTTTTTTTTCCCCGTTATTAATGCATACATAGCTCACTCACTACTGCCATCCCTCCTGCTCAGCCCATACACAGCTTCATGACTTCGCAGCCACATCATCCCAACACAGGCAAATACCCATTAACCCTGGAAAGGGAGGCAGAGCAGATGAATATGAGATACACATGCAGACAGCTGTTTCTGAAGAACTCTGTCAGTGAAAATAACTCTGCACCTGTGAGCAAATGACCATATATAAATTCACGCCACTTTTAACTACGAGGAACAGTCCTCATACAGGACAGGCAGGCAGGACTGGTGTAACAAGCTTCAAGCCTTCTCATATTTCTGTGTCAAACAGACTCCCAGGTGGCCAAATACCAGGTATCAAACCAAGACATTTCTCCTAATGGCCAGTGAAGGAATTTGAGTTCTCCCTGGTGTGTTGGGATAGCAGTGTACTTAGTGCAAGGAATCCATTTCAGAAGACTATGAAAAAGATAATATAAATTTCAAGAGCATGTCACTACTCACTTCCACAGTTTTTGGCATGGAAATACAAGTGTATTGTATTGATCAGTTACTACACGAATAACTTTAGGAACTGTTGCAAGTATAGTCAATGTCAGCCTGAGAAAGATAGGGCAATTACCTTGCTAGAGTACACCTCAGCTTTTTCTAAAGGAGCTTAAACTGGATCCACAAAGACACAGAACCCTGCAAAACATACACACGCTATCTGTCATTAAAGCTTGTAACCCCACAGTTCCCATGGAAGGGAAGGACTGAAGGAACAGATTTAATGGAAAGCAGCTGCTGCAGGTAAGGACAGTTTAACCATCACCTTGATGAATTTCAGTATACTGCCAGGCAAAAAAGCAAGAAAGTCTTTTCCATCAAAAGACAATGGGAAAAGAGCTCTCCGTGAACAGAACTGTAGCTGAATTGTAAAAGAGATCAGAGTTTTTCAGCCGTGCAATAAGAGATTCAGACCTATTAAAACACATGCTTTGTTTCAAACAAGCAGGGCTGTTTGTGAACTGACATGGAACACATCATGACACTGTAACAGCTATTTAACAGATAAGGAAATTGTCTCTGGATGCTGAGAAAACATTTACCTGAAGGAACACAAATTCTGAGGCCCAGCCTATAGAGCTCAAAGGTGTACCTGATCATGAAGTATCACAGAAGTTCATCCAGACACTTGACGTGGGAAGACAAGATAAAGTTTCATCTCAAACCTATTATGAACAAGGCCTTTACTTTAAAGGGT